CTTTTTCCTCCCCCTCCTCCATAAATGCTTCAAATTAAATTTTAAATATAGGGGGAAATCTACTTTATATACATTGAAACTAATCAAATAAGAAGGTAGCAATATGGAATTATTCTTCTTAACTCAACTGGTTTGTGAACAGAACTGATGAGACCACAGACAGAAGGTCATATTGAGTCCAGGAACGTAGGCACAGTTCTAAAATATTAGTAGCATATATGTTCACAGTCATTTATTTCACATTTGTGTATCACTGTCAAAGGGTGGATAGCACTAGAGAAGAGAGACAAATTCAATACTAAATTATTTTCAACATTGAAAAACTGTTCCAAGCTCATATTTCTGTCAGTGAGATTGTACCTTCCTCTTCAAACCCCAAAATACAAATAATACAATTCTGTTCTACTCCCCTAGCTTTCTAATATTTTTTTTATCTGAAACAAGAATCTTTCAGAGCCAAATGTATAGAGCTCCTCTTTTTGCTATAACACTTATAAGTGTGGTTTGGTTTGAAAATATCAAAAAATTAAAAAGACAAAATTTTCCTCACCATGAGAAAATAGGCATCTGATTGTAAGTTATTCGGGGAATCCTTGTAGTGGTGATACTTTTTCCTAAAACTTTCTGACAAAACATATGATATAGTGTTCAGATGTCATATGTCAGACTACAATGTCTTGATATTTTAAACATTAAGACAAACAATGCTCTTCAGGCCCAACTTGACATGATTTATCATTCCACATTCAAGAAAAAAAAATATTTCATTCCTAATTTGTTTAAGCCTTTAGTTTAATTTAAAAATATGATCAGGGTATTATGTATAGTCTATTATTTATTTATACTTGTCAAAGCATTTTTATTCCCTAACAATTAATGTTTTTCACATAAAAAAGAAGATAGGAAAATTAAGATACATGATGAATATGACAGAAGTCTGTACTTCCAAATCTTGATATTTAGTTCTGATCTTTTCTTAATTTCTTCCATTTAAATGTTTCTACTTTCTGCCAGGCAATAACAATAGCTAACATATTGAGTGCTTTGTAAGTGCCAGGCACTTAACATGTTTTTATTATTTCTTCCTCATGACAACCATCTAAGTGACTATTATCATTCCCCTTCTACAGATGAGGACACAAAGTTTTAGAGAACTGAAATGACAAATGACATTTGTACAGCTGAAAAGGAAGTCTCCTGAAGGAGTTGGCAAAAATAATTGAAGTATTTGGCTTTGTGTTTCAGGCAAAATAATAATAATAATAATAATAATAATAATAATAATAATAATAATAATAATAATAAACCTATCAATCAACAAAATTTTAAAGAAGGAAAACATATAATATCCATAAAAAGTACAGGAGTAAGTAGAACACAGCAGAACCCATTTAACCAACCAATCTCACCCATCTAACAAACATATGTTAAATATACTTTGTTTTTTTCTGCCTCTGCCTTGGTTTCGAAAAGGACAAAAGACCAAATTGTGCAGAAGTTACATAAAAGTTATATGTACTGTTTATAAAATTGAAAGATATTGACAGAGATCACTACCAATGTCTACAACCTTAGATGATCCTATAGTTGATATGTATTTGCCTTTTAATAAAAATATAAATCACTTTAATTCCCTGAGGTTAACCTCACTCATCTAAATTATTTATGTACCCATTTTAATATGTATTTTGCATCTGACAGGACAACTCTCCTTAGGACTCTCTTTCTGACCCACCTGTCATTATGACGGGGTAAACAATGTCACCTTTCTAGTGCTCAATGAATTACAAAGAAGTTTCAAAGTACACCATCCATCACACTGGCACTAAGTAGGTTTTTTGAAGTAGATCTCAGATATCACAAATGCTGTTACCAGAAAGCACAAATTGGAAGCTTATACAAAATGGTCATATGATGAATGGACATGACATGTCTTCAAAGTAAAGGGGCACTTCTCTTCTACAAACAACCTTGTCAAAAGCAAAAGTTGTGGTAAGATTTGCTGGCAGACAAAATAGCACAGTTTAAGAACTTGGTAAAGGCTCAGCCTGAGAAAATCATGCAATCGAAATGTTCTCACAATCAAAAAGGAGGTATGTGCTGTCAGTGATCGCTATGCATTTATAATAGTCACCTAGAAATCACTTTGTTTTTGAAAATCACACTAATATAGTTTGAGTTTTAAGAATCAGTATTAATAATGTATATGCTTTTTGATATAGATACTTAAATTAATATGTACTTAGTGTGATAGATTTGCATTATTAAAGTGCTAATTAAGATAGTTAATGTCACTATCTTTACCTAATTTGCATGATTTCTCAAATTATTTTTTTGAGTACAAGGTATTTGTTTTATACGTCACTGCATTATAATTAGTTTTGAGTTTTAGTTTCCCTTTTGTTTAGTCCTAATATTTCATATACGGAGTGTATTTCTACATCTACACTTAACTTTAACTCTGCCTTTTAGGAGCTGCCTTATAAAAATTCTCTTTTACCTCTTCCTCATTCAAAAGGGTAGTTTTAATACATTTGTAAATGGTTCAACAGATGCCAAAAAAGGATTTATTTCTTCAAAAACATTTGTATAATTTCATGAATAAGCAGTAGCTCTAGGCTTTCCTTTTTATGAAACAAAGGGGAAAAAATAGAACATTTATAACTAACATAAATATTTAGAAAACTGTCAGAGTGATGGACTCTTTTCTATGAAATTTATTCAATCTTACTTTATATCTAATGAGCCAGAAGATTATTACATGCTAAGGAAACAGGGACGTTAGCTGTAGTTTCATGGTTTTTTTCATTTTATCTCTTCAAAGAATGATTAGTATTTATCAAATAAAAATGAAAGGCAAGTAAAAAGGGGGTGATTCCAAGAATTTCCTGAAACTCCTGGTGTCTCTGTGATTGTTCTGTTTCAGACATTCTTTTGTTTGTGAGAAAAAAAAAATGTTATTAGACTTGAGACAGTTGGAATAAAGAGAAGGCTGGAAGTATGTGGGTCTTATTTAGTGTAGCAATCTAGAATAAATGCCTGGGGTTATACTATGGTTTAGAAATGAAGTGTCCTCCAAAAGCTTCATGTGTGACACAATGCAAAAAAGTTTAGAGGAAAAATAATTGGATTGTGAGAGCCTTAACCTAGTCAATGCATTAATCTGCTTAAATGTATTAACTTGGTACTCATTGCTGGCGGGTAGGGTGTGGCTGGAAGAGGTGGGTCACTGGAGGGTGTGCCTCTTACAGTATATATTTTGACTCTGATGAGCAAAGCAATCTCTCTGATTCCTGATTTTCATGTTTTGATGTTCTGCCTCACCTCAGGCTCAGAGCAATGGAGTCAGCTATCTATGGACTGAGACCTCTGAAATCATGAGCCCCAAATAAACTTTTCATTCTCTACATTGTTCTCGTCAGGTCCTTGGACATAGTGGTGAAAAAGCTGACTAAAACAGGTTATTTTTAAAATCTGGCTTAAGTCCAAAGATTTTGACCAAAGAAAAGTAGCTAGCTGGCTGCCTTCTTCTATCTTCATTACAGGTGTATTTAGCTTCCATTATTACACCAGAAAGAGTGTACATTAATCCAAATTACATGAGTCCTTTACCAGAAATACTGTGGATATTTATCATTAAATTAAATTCTAATTAATGGTAAAACATTTCAAGATTGTATGGGTTATGTGCAATTCTGCCAAGAGTGTGACACAATGTAGCAAAGAAATATGCTGAAGCACCTGTATCCTAAGCCCTGGATCCCAAAAAAGAAAAAAGATGTAATAGAAACTAGAATTCAGGCCTGGTGTGGTGGTGCATACCTATAATTCCAGTGGATCAGGAGGTGAGGCAAGAGAATCTCAAGTTCAAAACCAGCCTCAGCAAAAGTGAGGCACTAAGCAACTCAATAAGACCCTGTCTCTAAATAAAATACAAAATAGACCTGGGGATGTGGCTTATTGGTCAAGTGCCCCTGATTTGGGGGGAGCACCCCCCGCAAAAAAAAATAAACAGCATTCATTTTTACATTATTTTGAGTATTTCTGTAGAGTAACATTAAACAACTTAAATATCCCATGTTAGTCATAGTTAACAATAAGATTCTCAAAACGTTATACCATAAACACTAATTACAAATGACATTATTTCATTTGTATTAAATGAGACCATCCATAGTTTTGTTTAAAAAAATTAAAATGTTAAAATTTCACTTTTACATTGGGACACCAAACTTGCCTATATGAAAGAAACAAGTAATCAAGTATACAGCATTGCATCAACCTCACATATATTAGTTAATTTAATTCTCACAGTGACTTTAGAAAGCTGGACCTGTTACTATTCCCATTACAGAAATAAGAAAACTTAGCAATGGTGGCTAAGTACAGCGGGTAACCACAGAGGTGAAATTTAAAACTAATGCCTGCAGCTCTAAAAGTCTTTAACTTAACTGCCATACCCAAAGAACCCATCATGCCAAAATCCAGCTAACCCAGAAAAGGTAAAGAAACTATCCACACCTGGTTCCCTATCACATGTGTTTTCCATCATGCAAGCAGATGCTCTGTATTTCACAACTTAAACGTGTGAGTAATCACATCAATTTTCCACTTCATTTCTTGTGTGCACACACAGCCTCAAAACACAGTCCTCTCTATTACTATTCTTTCTCTCCATATCAATGCATTAAAATTTGCCTCTTGAAAACCATAAACAAAATAGACTTTGCACTCTATGGACATGAGCAAAACGTGAATGATTCGGCCACGCATTCAACACCTTTGAATTAAATCCCTGGAACACGTTTTCACTTTCAAAATGTGATAGGAAAAGGCTCAGACAATCCCTATCTTCCTTCCCTTTCCTGGCACCTCCACACTGAGAACATTTACTGGTTCCTTTTGAATGTTGCATCTTGCCAGTTAGTTCAATTTAGATGAAAGCTGTTGTTTTCTAATTCCATTTCACTGTAAATGACAGAGACAAATGGTCATATTACCTCGAGAGTTCCTTTGGCAGAATAGGCTGCATAGGAGTACAGCGGATCTTGGCTGCTATCTTTTCTGGCTTCTTCACTACAAGGCTGGCCATCAGGATGAAAGCATTGGCCACTGCTGCTCACAGTCACAGTGCTGGGAGATGGACCTGGCAGGTTCAGCAGCACAGAATAATTTGCCAACTGTACATCTTCTAGGCCCAAAGAAGTCCAGTGAGTCATAATCCTCTTTGAAATTTCCATGTCATCTTCATTTTTATAGAGTTCTACCAAATTTCTGAAAGACATTTTGAAAGTGTGCTTTAAAAATGAAAAAAATCTTTATTCTTTTAATATATGACTGTTCACTATGTAAATAATTATTGATGGGTGTTGTGGGATGTCGAAAGAGAATGAAAATAGATCCTACCATAGGAAATTCACAGTGCAGCTGAGGTGATACACCTGCACAGCCATTAAAGTAAATAAAGCAGGATGAATTAATTTCTTAAGAACTAATAGAGCACTTATGACGTCAGAGAAGAGTGATCAATGCCAACTCTTTCTCGTAATCGTTCTGACCCTTCTACCAACATCAGCACAATCCATTTAAAACTCAGTTCCAAAACTAGTTATCATGCTGAGATAGTCCTGTATTCTGGTTAATGTGACTACACATAAAACTGATTATCATATAGCTATCTCTTTTTAAAATAATAGAGAGCACATTAGACACTATTTACCTGCTGAATTATGTGATATTCTCACAGTGACTTTAGAAAGCTGGACCTATTACTATTCCCATTACAAGAAATAAGGAAACTTAGCACTGGTGGCTAAGTAACAGCAGGTAACCACAGAGGTGAAATTTAAAACTAATGCCTGCAGCAAAATAATGTTTGATAAAATCTGTATACAATGGTAAGACCAAAACACAGTGCCATACCAATATATAATTAATGTTTTTGCTATTTTCTATAGCTCGTCTATTTTCCCTATGCTTATTCCTATTTTGCCTGTGACACCTTAGTATCTAGACAAAATCTGTTAAATAAATGCATTATAGTATGTAGAAGACAATCAAACTTGGGAATTTAATGAAAAGCATTAAAATCAGATAAAGTTTGTGTGTTTATATGTGTGGCTAAAATGAAAGGCAACTGAAAAGGAGCTTGCTTCTTTTTTGAACAAAAACGTACTTCTTATGAGAAATGTATGGCTATCATCATTGTATGGCTTACTTAAATTTAAGTTGATATTATCGTTATGCCAATCAGATTGTTTTTCTCACACATACTTATTTCTTTCAGGACCCTATTTATTTAGGAAACTGAAAACATGCACATATGGTAAAAGAATGAGAGTTGGACACAAGAGTACAGGAAAGTATTACTTGAGATAAAAGGTGGGCCCGCTGACATGGATTGGAAGCATGCCAATGTATAAATGTGCAATAATAAGAAGTTTTCTAGTTGTTTTGCATCTTTTTGAGGCCACCTATATTAATCCTTTCTATCTTTTCCTTATAAATATCCAGTTGAATCGCTTAACAATAATATATTTTATGAAACTAGAAGAATTTCTTTTTTTTGTTTCCCATAAACCTGCCTTCTACCAAGTTAGGTTGTTGCTTTATCTGCTCTCCACCTCTCCCCACCACCACTCCCTTCCTTTACTGTTATTGCATTCTGTAGGCACTTTGGGGAAAAGGCAGGTAAGCTGAGTTAAAACTGTACTCACTTTGATGAAAAGGTCATTTAGAAGATGCATTAATAGTATTCTTTTACATATATATTGTAAGCAATGCCAAAATGCTTTTAAAAGGGTTTTGATTACTCTCCCCCAGGATTTCATGAGAGCACTTACTCCTTCATTTCATCTAACACTTGGGTGTTGTCTTTTTTTTAAACAGTATTTATTTTATACTTTGGCTAATATGGAGGGTGTGAAATTGTATTTCATTATGTGTTTAACTCAGAAGTACAATCACTTGTTTGCAGGATCTGCTAATTAGTTTCCCAAAGCATTTTATACCACCAGCTTATTTAGGATGCCCCACAGTCAGTGTATTTAATTACTGCAGTCCAATGAAGGTAAAATTTTATCCTATTGTGGTTTTAATTTGCATTTCCATGATTACTGATGAGAATATTTTCATGAATTATTTATTTATCCATGTGTCCTGTTCACTGTAATAACTGTTCTCATCTTTTACCCATATTTATGGAAGTTTTTGTAAGTTCCAGATAGTCCTTTTCAGGATATATGCATGGCATTAATCTTCTCCAGGTTTCTGGTTTCTCTCTTCATTTTCAATATGTTATCTTATGATGAACAAATGTTTATAATTTTAGTGTACATAATTTTTAATATAACATGATTCACACGTTTTCTGATATGCTTTCAAAATGTTTCTGAAACTTGAGATCAAAAAGTTATTCTAATTTTTTTCTAAGAGTTTTAAAGAATTGTCTTTCTCATCACAGGGTCTACGTGGAGAAAGAGGAGGAAACAAGCAGGGATAGGGCCAGAGGGTATACTGTGAGGTGGGATGCCAATCTCATCTTTCCCACATGAAGAACAGCCCTGGAGACCCTTTTCAAATAATCCCCACTAATATACAATACCAAGTGCGTCATATGTGAGCTTCTATACCAGTATGGGTCTGTCTGAGCTCCCAAAACAATTACATTAGTCTTTTTGATCCATCTTCATAATGATGAGCTATTTTATTATTATTACTTTATAATATGTCTTCATATTCAAAATGGCAAGATGCCCCACTTGTTCTTCTCCAAGAACATCTTAATTATTTTTTTTCTCTTTCATATTAATTGGATTGAGTTTTTCATTTCAATGTCCAGATTGTGATTATAATTACATTGAGACTAAGAATCAATTTGGGAAGATATATCATCCTTATATAAAATATCATTAAATCCTTAATATTTTTGCTATGATCTGAATGTTTGCATATTGCCAAAATTCATATGTAGCAATCCTAAAACTCAAACTTGGTGTTAAAAGGTGGGGGGTCTTTGGGAGATAATTACATCATGAGGGCAGAGACTTGAAATAAAATTAGTATTACTATAAAAGAAGTCTGAAAGAGATTTCTTACTCTTTCCACAGAGTACAGAAACTTAGCTGGAAAGCAACATCTGTGAGGAAGCAGGACCTCCCCAGACACGTCAAGCACCTTGGTCTTAGACTTCCAGGTCTGGAACGATGAGTAGTAGATTTCTCTTATTTATAAGCTGCCTAACATCTGTTCAGGTTGTTATAACTCAGACTAAGACAATCTTTAAATATCTGGAGAATATTAACATAATGTGATATAAAAATTTTAAAATCTGCTTATTTTTTGCTGCTATAGAAGAATACTATTGCATTGTACTACAAAGGAATCCTGATTAACTCTCTTACTAATTATAATATTTCTCCTTTTTTTGTTTTCTATCTAAAAATATTTTATAAGAAAATAACAAAACTTTTATTCACATCTTTCTCATAATTTAGAGATTTTATTAATTTATTTATGTATTGTTTGGATTACTTGATAGGTTCTGATCACCAAAAATATTTCATGAAATATTTAATAAGGTGTGTTAGTCTATGTTGTGTTATGAATATTAGTTTTAAAAATTTCTTCCTATTATCCTCTTGTTAAGAGATGTTCTTTGAACATGTATTGGATTTTGTAAGAAATTCTGATGTATTTATTAAGACAGTCATATGACCCTTTTCTTCAATATAATGAATATATTAATTGATTGCTTAGAGTTAAATCAAATTTGTATTTTTAAGATAAAATCTACTTAACAAAAATGCATTATCATTTTAGACAGTATGTGATTTATTTGGCAAATATTTTATTTATAATATCCATTTCTTATTTTAAAAGTAAAGTTGGTATGTGATGTTCCTCTCATAATGATTCTCAGGAATCATTATGTTTAATTATGGTTTGAAATGATACAAATAATTAGAATTCAGGAAAATAAATTATTATTAAATTAGAAATTGTTGTACTCAGTGTTCATATTATGGAAGAACTATGAACTTCTGACTCAATGTTATAAGAAATTCTTTATTTCTTCCTTTAATCCAGCTCTACATTGCTCTCTCTGCTATTTGCTATTCATCCTCACATTTTCAAGTTTCTGGTTTCATCACTGTTAAAGTAGTCTTTCCTGTGTTTTGTTTCCCTTGTTGATTTCTGGTACTGCACTATTCAGGATAGTTGTATTTAAAAGAAGGTTTATTTTATATATACAACATCTATGTGTGAGAATATCTGTTTAAAAATATTACCCCAAACAGAAGTGCTCTAACTTGAAAACTTAATGACTAAGACATGATTTCTTTTCATGTATTGATTGCTATTTGCACAATGACCAAAGGGGGAGCACTAGAAAAGTAGTAAAGAATTATGACCTTGGGCTGGGGTTGTGGCTCAGGGCTAGAGAGCTTGCCTCCCATGTTTGAGGCACTGGGTTGGATCCTCAGCACCACATAAAAATGAATAAACAAAATAAAGATGTTGTGTCCATGTATAACTAAAAATATATTTTAATCTCCTTCCGTGGACTAATAATGTAGGTATTCATTTAAAGTTTATTGATATGCTATTATTTGGTACATTATCTCACCTATTACAGATTAGATTATTCAAATCTCCTATATCATGATTGTTGATGATTCAAGGGGATATAAGAACATCTTTATAGTAAGATTCAGAATCATCTAAAAAATAATGATAGAGTTTTTGGATACACAGAATTTTAAAAATACTGATGTTTAAAAATGATAGTAGAAAAATTATTTCTTAATAAATAGTGGATAACATTCCAAACAGTTAACCATATCTTACTAACTATCTGTTCAAGTTCCATCACCCTAAGTTTTTTTTTTTTTAAGAACTGCACTACCTTGCCAAGTCCAGTGGCACATGCCTGTAATCCCAGTGGTTCGTGAAACTGAGGCAAGAGGATTGAGAGTTCAAAGTCAGCCTCAGCAACAGCAACTCAGTGAGAACCTATGTCTAAATAAAATACAAATAGGACTGGGGATGTGACTCAGTGGTTGAGTGCCCTGAATCCAACAATCCCCAGTACCAAAACAAAAAACAAAAAACAAAAAAGTGCTACCTTTTAAATTTATATCTTGAATTTATCCAATTTTTGTATATACCTAACTTGTTTAAAAAATGATTTAAAAGAAGCCTTATAATTTCATTGCTTTAAAATTACTCATTTATCTATAAACTGTTTTAAATAAATCAGTAATCATAAAGGC